TTCCACCCAGACAGGTAACACAGGCTGGGTGATTAACTGGCTCCCTCTTTTCCACCTCTCCTTGTGGCTGGCTCTCCTGGCCAGTTCTCCCTCAGCTTCCTGGTGACCTTGGGCTGGAGAAAGCCATGGAACTTGTAAGATGGGAGCTTGTGCTGGAAGAGATGCTCTTGGCAAACCAAGAATCTCTATGCACAGCTCGGGGTAGGGGGATGGCAGTGGTACCCCATGGGTTCTACAGGAGAACGGGATGTTTTGGGTGGGAGCTTGCAGCAGCTTTGCCCAAAGAGCCCTTTGAGATCCAGCAGCTCCCCCTGCTCATCTCCCCCCTGCTTGTCTCCCCGTGCCCATGGAGCAGTGGGAACTGCTCCCACGAAATCTAAAGCAAGCACAGCAATGCTTGTCTCTTTGTTGTGAATAATGTCAGGCTTTTTTTCGGCAGTGCTATTGAGGCAGCAGCTGTATTTCACCCAGCTGGCAGCGCTCAGGGAGGAGATCAAGTGTTCTCAGCAGAGCTGGGCCAGATCTAGGGCTGGGGGAAAGTGGTGCAATCCCGAACTGGGCTCCCAGACCGGGGCTTGGGGGGATTTTGGGGAGGTGAAACAGCCCTGTGTGCTCAGGGGTCTGTGGGAGCAGCAGGATGAGGAGCTCTGCTGCTGCTGGATGTGATTGTAGTTGTGTGGGTCGCTTGTTGTTGGACAGTCCTCTTCTGAAGCCAAAAAACCAGAGGCACCTGGAGCTGTGTGTGTGTATTTCTGCACTCTGCCCGAGCATGCTGCAAGAGCAGAGCTGCAGCCCTGCCAAAACATCCCGCAGTTCTGGGAAGCCTCGGCACCGTGCGCCCGTCCCGAGGGGTACGCTGTGCCTCCCACTGCCAGGTACCCCTGGGCAGGTGCCAGCCCTTCCTCTGGGCTTGGGAACAGCTTGTTTTCAACGTCAGTGCCATGGGAAGCAGAGCAAGCAGGAGCAGATGTGCCCGAGGGCACTGCTGGCCCATCTCCCTGGCACGGGCAGGACTCGTTCCTCTGGCCCTGTGCTGAGGGACCTCCCTGCCAGAGCCCTGAACTTTGCACAGAAGGGAAGAAAAGTTGTGTTGATTAGAGTTGCATCTCCTCTGGATCCTCAGCTCAAGCTTCCAGTCCCTCTGCTGTTTGCCCACTGATGGGAAGCTCAGTGTGGGACACGGATGAGAAGGATGCTGGGGACAGGAGAAGGCTGGAAGGCAAGGAATATGCTCAGATGAGAGGGTTTGGGTTTTGTTTGCTTGTTTGGAATATTTCTTTGGGCCATTCATTATATTCCAGTCATGAGGAAACGTGACTTCTCTCTGTAAGAAAAACCTGGGGGTTTTGTTTTTTGTTTTGTTTTGCTTGGGGTTTTTTTTTGGGTTTTGGTGTTTTTTGGATTTTGTTTTTTTTGCATTTTTTTTGTTTGTTTGTTAGGTTTTTTTGTTTTGGTTTTTTGTTTTGGTTTTTGTTGGGTTTTGGTTGGTTGATTTTTTAGGGTTTTTTTTTGTTTGTTTGGTTGTTTTTTTTTGTTTTGTTTTGTTTTGTTTTCTCTCCCCTCCAGAGATCTGGTTCCTAGTCCTGAGAGGACCTTTGCTGTCAGAGCTCCCTCCTCCCTCTACCTATCATTGATTTCCCCTTGCGTTGTATCTCCCTCCAGCCTTCACTGAATAAACAAAAACCCTCTGCCCTGGCTGTGCTGTTCCCAGTACCTGTGCTGGCTCTTTCCAGCCTGCCAAACCTGCAGGGATCCAGGTGGCTCCTCCAGAGACACGTGGATTTGCCCCCAGCACAGCAGGATCAAACAGGAGCAGTGGGAGCACGGAATAAATGACACCCCTGGCTGGTTCTTGCTGCCTGACTTGGTTGCTCTCACCCAGGGTTTATTGTCTTGCACATTTCTGCCCCCTCCCCAGGTTCATTTGGGTGTGCTGGGCTCATGGCTCCCTGGCATGGATCTGCATTTCCAGCTGTTGACATCTGCTGGTCCCTTTCCAACCATTAAACCCAAGACAGAATGGGAGGAGGGGAAGACACCTCATTAATTTTTACTCCTCCCTGCATCCTTCCCAACCTTTTCCCCTGGCAGAGATTGGGAGGAACATTATTTTGCACAGCCCCTGCTTCCCACTGCCATCCTAAAAATCAGTCTCACCTTGCCACAGCAAGGTTGGGCCCCTCAGGTCATTTTTTTGGGGGTTGTTTTTTGGCATTTTTGTTTAGTCTGGTGCTGTGTTGCAGGTGGTGAGGCAGAACATTGTGCTGCACAGCAGCTCTGTATTTAGAAGCAGAAGCAAGGCACAGGATGCCTGTTTTCAGCATCCTGAATACATTAGGATCCAAAAGAGTTTGCAGGGAAAATCCAATTATTGCTATCCCCGAGTGCCAGCAAAGCCTGGCATCCAACAGCCACATAGTGGATGAGCCTGGTGGGTCCTGGCTTGGCTCCTGCTGCTCTCCTGGGGCAGGGATGGGGATGGGCAGGAGCTGGGCTGCCCTGGAGCCCGTTCTGGTGGGACAGGCTTGAGCTTCCATCCCAGCCCAGCTTGCTGTGCCCAAACCACCCAACAGTGCTGGGAGCAGCCAGGTAAGACCCAGGCAGCAAATTCCTCATCAAAAAGGCTCCACTTTCCTGTCCTCTGGTCCCAGCTGGGGTTTAATAGGAGCTGCAGGTGCTTAATATCCAAGGGAATTTTTTATCCAGGTGGGTTTTTTCTAAGCAGGGAGTTGAGAGCATGGACAAAGAACAGAATTATATTCTAAAAGTGGTCACATTTTGCTGTCCCTAAATGCGGCTGCTGTGCCAAATGGAGATTCATTTGCTCACGAAGAGGGATTGTAGCAGTGCTGCCCAGTGCCTGCTGGGCTGGTTTTGGGTGATGGGCAAGGCAGCATTTGTCAGGAGAGATAAAACATTGTTAGACACTGGGATCACTGGGAAATAAACAGTTCACCTGCTGGCACAAGGGAAAGAAAACAAGAAATGTGTGAGCAGAGATGTGGCCAGCTTCAAATCAGCAACGAGAGCTGGCTCTGCTGCTGGCCAGGCCCTGTTTGGGGACTTCTTGCCCCATCTCAAACCTGAGGTGGGTTTGGGCCAGCATTTCTTTGGGGTTTCCCCAGCTGTTCTGCTAGAGAATAATTCCTTTCCCCACAGATTTAAAGACTTGACACCTGTAGTTTCTCCACTTTCACTTTCTTGGGCAAACAGGGGTGAAAAATTCTGTGATTCTGAAAGAGAAGATGTGTGAGGTGCTTTTCACAGCTTTTCACTTTTGGGTGGGAGGTGAGTCCCAGGGAGACATGCAGAGATGGGGATGGACTCTGAGAGGGATTAATGCAAATACCTGGTCCAGCAGATCCTGCCAAACCCTGCCTGGATTGTTCCTGGCCTGGAATTCTCCTGGGGAAAGGCAGGAGGGGGACGAGGCCGATCCCGCTGCGGTTTGCAGCACCTGGGAAAGGCTGCTGGAGATTTTTTTGTGGAAAGACGACTCCACCTCGTAGGTGTCACGGCAGGCAGGAGGAACAAAGCCACCTTTGTGGCCCTTCCCCTGCCCTGCAGAGCTGGCCCCAAGCCAGTGAGGTGCCTGGCTCTCTCCAGGGGCCTGGGGACGGCTGGCTGAGCAGCCAAGAGCTTCCCGGAGCTGGAATTTGGGGCAGTTGCCTGGAAAAGCAACCTCTCTCCCGGCAGCAGCAGAAAAGGAGCTCGGATGGGATAACTCCTGAAGGTGCTCCCAGCCCAGCCTGGTGTGCTGGAGGTGCTCATGTACCCCCCAAGGTACCTCCGCCGCCTGGGGTGGCCCTGGTGGGCAGGAGGGTGAGGGAATGGCCGCAAATTCCAAATTGAATTTATGAGTGCTGCCACTCAAAAGCAAGGACCAAGCAGGGCTGGAAGGATAGAGCACTATGGAAGCGTCAAAACAGCTCAGATGAAACTGTGTGCAGCTGTAGGGAAGCAAAGCAGCAGCTTTACACAAACACTGAAATAAGGCCCTCAGCCCCTTCTGTCTCTTGTAATGGTGGGATAAATCCTTCCCATCAGGAGGATTTTCCCCTTTCATGATTGGAAATGCTGGAGATGCGTGGCACAACCAAGGTTTAGTGGAACCATGAGGGACAAAGAGTGAGTTTTCCCTGTCCTGTAGGTTTCACAGAGATATCAATGTTGCTAAGAGTTTTGCTCACACAAAACTGGCACAGCTCTTTGGTGGCACAGAGTGGGGAGTGGGCACAGGCAGGATTCCTGTGGGAATGGCACTGTGGGGGTCCCTGGTGGGTGGGGACAGTGCCAGGCCAGCATCACCTCCCTCTGCGCCAAACCAAGCTGTGCCATGCAGAGCCAGCCCCTCGCCAGGACATCTCCTCTGGAATGGGAGGAGGTGGATCTCTCTGGGTCTAGCACCCTTAAAAATGTCAAATTCCACCCAGGGAATGGGAAAATCCTCTGGAATGGGAAGAGATGGATCTCTCTGGGTCTAGCACCCTTAAAAATGTCAAATTCCACCCAGGGAATGGGAAAAATTCTTTGGAATGGGAGGAGATGGATTTCTCTGGGTCTAGCACCCTTAAAAATGTCAAATTCCACCCAGGGAATGGGAAAAATCCCATCCCTTGGGATCTCCCACTGCTGTTGCACCAGTATGAAACCCACTTTAAATGCACACGCTTGCTGGGGGAGGGGAGGATGAATCCCTCCAGGAATGGGATGAATCCCTTCATGAATTCTTTAATGAATCCCTTTGGTGTTCCATCACCCCAGGACAGGTGGGAATCAGGGCCTGCTGGCACATTCCCCCTCCCCTGGTTCACCGTTCCTGCCTCACATCCCTGCTCCTGATCGGAAAACCCCTGGGACTGCGAGAGTTAATTCTTCATCCCAGCTGCTTTCCCCAGCAGGAAGAGGGATTGTGCTAGGCAAGGGGCACCACTGCAGAGGGGGAGGAGGCAAAAAAAAAAAAAAAAAAAAAGAAAAAAACTGCACAGGACAGCGTTTAGACCTTTTACCTAATTTCCAAAGTTTCAGACCTGAGGGCCATAGCAACGAGGGCTGCCAGCGGTGTGATTGGAGGCAGTGCTGCCCTGCCCTCCCAGCTTCCCAAGCAGCATCCCCTGATGGAACACAGGCAGTGTTGAGGCCACTCTTGGCTTTCTGCCCTTCCCCACGGGAAGAGCTCGAGGCATGTGGCTCTGTGTTCAGTGTGATTTTATTTTATTTTATTCTCCCCCCAGCTGATTGCCTTTGCTCGTTTCAATTCCATTTTCCCTGGTTTCTGGGGAATTGTTTAGGAAGTTCTTGGGCAGTTGTGAAGCCAGAGGAGGGCTGCTCTCATGAAGACCTGCCTGGAAATCAGCAGGGTGGTACAAACCCAGCAAGGTGTTGTGTGCATTTGTATAAACACAGGTAAGTGAGAGGGGCTGGCACTTTGTTTGAGTCCAGCAACACTTTCCTTTTTCTATCAAATAAACCTTTGCAAAAAATACCAGGGGTTCCTGCAAAACAACAGCAAAGATGTGACTTGGGGCAACAAAACCTGCAAATTGTTCTTGTTTATGCTTACAGCTTGCTGATTCTCCTTTTGGGTTTATCAGAGCGGTTCAACCACCAAGTTCCTCTCCAAGCACAGCCCATCCTGGGGAAATATAGAATCACACAATATCCTGAGAAGGATCATGGAGTCCAGCTCCTGTCCCTGCACAGGACAGCCCAAAAACCCCACCCTGTGCCCGAGAGTTGTCCAAATGCTTCTTGACCTCAGGCAGGCTTGGTGCAGCCTCTACAGGGAAAAATCCCAGTGAAACTTGGATGGGGCTCCCACCTGAGCATCCACTTTTGATGGCAGCATTCCCAATTATTCCCAATATGAGCTTGTGTTCCTTTAGTATAAAGAAAAAATTTACACATTTCTGTTAATCATATTTCTGTTAATTAAAAAATACGTATTCTTTTAAATAGATTTAAGTCCAGGACTCCTTTGCTCGGAAACCCCCTTAAAAGATTTGTTTTGAATAAGAATTTTATGCCATCAGCTACAAGAGTTTCATGCCACATGATTCTTTGGGTTTTGGTTTTGTTTGTTTTTCGTTTGGTTTTGATTCATTTTTAGAGTCTAGGAGTTCAAAGCATTAGAATTAACAAGCAAAAATTTAATGTTTATGCTGCCATCTCTTCTACCCTGAGCTTTGACTTTGCCTTTCTACCAGCGTGGACTATGATTTGACATCAAATTGGTTTTAGCATCTGTAACTGCACATGGAATAGAAAACACATATGGAAATATAGAGCAGTCTACTTGCTATTGAATTTTGTTAGCTGACCTGAGTAGCACCGCAGAGCTGGCACAGCCTTGGGCTCAGTTTCTGCAGGTCATGGAGATCAAACCCCCACAACTCTTCCAGAGCTGCTTTTTTGGAGCAGAATTCCTTCCCAGCCTGCAGGTGTGACGTTTCTGGCAGCACCGAGTGGTCAGGGAGAAGAGGGAATGAAAGTGGCTAAAAGGAAAAGCGTTTGCAGAGGAAAAGGTGGGGATTGTAGGAACCACTGAGCTGATGCAAATGGAGCTGGTCTGAATTCCCCAGACCTTAAGGATCACTCCAAGCTTCAGCAGGGCAGCTAAGCTTGATTGTGAGTGTGTCAGGGTTCTCCTGTGCAGCAGGCAGGGCCTTCCTTCCTCTCCTCTTCCTCAGTGAGCCACAAAAGCCACTCACTGAATCCCCTTAATTCTCCTAACACTTAATTCTCCTTACACTCCTTACACACAGGTTGTCTTTGTCATGGGGAAAAGCTTTCCAGCACCAAGCTGCCAGGATTTCTGCTCTTCCTTCTGAAGAAGGAAGAATTTCTTCTTTCTTCTTCTGCTTGGGCATGGCTGTGTGGGCTTGCAGTTCTTTTCCCTGGAGAGGTGAGCACATATTTCTGTCAGTGCTATGTATTTCTCTTCCAATCTGAATTAGTATTTAGGAAAAAAGAAGGGTGAAATAACGGAGCCAAAGGTACCTTGGTGTTTCCTGCTGTGCCCAAAGGTTTCTGTGCATCCCTGTGGCATTTGAGCCCTCCCCAGAGCAGTGAAACTGGCTCATCCCCAGGGAGCTGTGTGCAGGGAGAGCATCACCTTCCCCAGGATTTTAACAAGCCATGAAATTGGGTGTTCAGCTGTTTTCATTACTCTGCTACTCTGTGTGTAAACAAATCACCGATTTTTTGCCATTCATCCTAAAGATCCAGTGTGATATTCCCATCCTTTGGTGCCCTTTGAATGTCAGGCTGTCTCTTCAGCCAGTGATTCCTCACCACACCTCTCCTTTCCACCTTATTTACAGGGTGGAAATATATATATTTATATATTTAGATTTCTACCCATAGCTATATTCGTATATACATATATACACACATATATAATATATATTTCAATATATTAAAAAAATTGTATATTTATATAACATATATAATATATTATAATTATTAATAATTATATTCTTATATATAATATATAATATATTATATGTTTATATTAAAATATAATATATATAAATAAAATATAGAATATATTATATATTATATAATATGAAATAAAATATAATATAATAAATAATATTATATATTATATATAACATATAGAATACATATAAATAAAAATTAAAATATATAAATATTATAAATAAATAAATAAGTTTTGGTTGGTTTTGCGGGGGTTTTTTGGGGTTTTTTTTGGTTTGTTTTTGATTTTTTTGGGTGGGTTTTTTTTTGTTTGTTTGTTTTTTTGGGGGTTTTTTGGTTTTTTGGGTTTTTTTGTACAGAAAACCCTCAGGAGCTTGGAGCACCTCTCTTTTCCCAGGGCTCTGAGCCAGCAGATGTATTTCCCTGGCAGACAAGAGCAGGATGGCTCACTTGCACTCAACTTTCTGTTCTCCAGGAATCACTGGAATATGAATAGGATCCTTATCAAAGCAGGTTCATCCGGGGGACAAGACCACATGAATTGTTTGCGGAGCTCCAGCAAACAATCAGCATTCCTCCTGATTCCTCACTTGCCCATTCTGATGCAGTGGCCAGCTCAGGCAGGGCTCAGCTGCAGGGGGGTGACAGCTTTTGGCAGGCTCTGGACCATTCCCGGCTTCCCAGGTGGTGTGATGGAGCATCATGGCAGGAACTTCCATCTGGACCCTTCCAGTTATGGATTTGGGAGGTAAACACCCAGTGCCTCTCCCATTTGGGGATCCAAATGTAGAGTGGGAGCTGCTGTGAGCTCAGCATTTTCCCTTGAGGCTCTTTGCTATGCTCTGCTCTGGGGTGGGGTGATGGATCCTGCTGATGGAATGGAAGCCAGGGCTTGGCTCCCTTCCCAGGCCAGGACTGGCATCCCAAAGTACCAGAGGCCACAAGCCACAGGGACTTTCTGTGCCCCAGGAAAGAGGCAGGTGACACAGGGCATGGCCAGAGCTCCCAACGTCTGACCTCTCACTGCTGGGAAGTTGTCTTTGTCATCTGCTGAAGGAGGAGAGAAAAACTTGCCAGCCTCTTCCTTTGTCTTGCTGCAGTTTGGACGGCCAAAAGAGCTGTTGTTGCATCCAGGCTGCCTTGCCCTGCTCTCCAGAGCACTCTGGGGTGTTTCTCTGCCAGGAATCTGCCCCGTGGAGCACATCTGGGGGCTGCAGCCTTGGGGGCTGAGCTCTCAGCAAAGGAAGGGCACACACGAAGTTGATGTTGATGCTGGCCAGGCTGCTGGCTCTCCAGAAGGGCTCTGTGTCTGCGCAGCTTCAGTCTAGGTCTAAATTTAAACACCAAAATGCAGTGTTTAGGAGCCCAGGGAATAGCGCAGCCCTCGTCTCCTGTGGCTGAGCCAGCGCTCCCTTTGGCAAGGAAGAAGCTTTTGTTTCCTTTGGACTCCGGGCCAGCTTGGAATAATAACAGCAGCAAAACCCTCCCTGCCCCAGCACAATGAAGCAGAGCTGTCAATTCCCAGATGTGCAGAGGGGAAGTGCCCAGTGTGGCCCTTCCTGGTGCTTCCCTTCCAGATGTGGAGTGGCAGGGAGCTGGAGACAGCTGGTTGCCAGCTGAGAGAGGAGTGGACAGTGGATTTTTGCAGTGGAGACCCTTGAGAGTGCTGTGTGCTGCAGGGAGGAAACGACCCAGCAGGAAAGGCGAGGATGACCTCCCTCTCAGATGGGTCTGCATCCTCAAGGAACCCTCAGCCCCCATCTTCTCCCCCTCAAGCACCTCTTGCTCCTCATGATTTCCTCCTGAGCATCACCAGCAGGGCTGGACTCTGTTAAAATCCCTGCAGGCAGCTTGATGGGACAGTGTCACACCCCCTGCTCAGTCCTGTCCCCTGCACAAGGACAGCAGGGAGCCACCCCATGCATCCTCCTGCCAAGGCCATGCTGAGTGAGCCTCAGGTGAGCTGCTGTGGGGTGAATGTGCAGATTGGAGCCTGTCCCCCTCGGATGAGGTGGGAATGGTTCAGGTTCAGCCTCTTCTGGGCAATCCCCCGGGATTTGGGCAGCACAGAAGGGGGCACAGCTGCCTCTCAGGGTGCTGGGGGGTGATGCAAGCCAGGGCACTGCATCTTGTGACCCAGGCTGGCTGTGCCCACCCAGTGGAAAATTCCTGCTGCCCATGGACAACGTCCTTCTGCCTTTGTTTCGAAGCAGCTCCTGAGGACACGCAGCAGATAACAGGTGCTGACAGGGGCCTGGCTGCTAATCGGGGTTCTGCCAGGGCTTCCATGATGTTTGCAATGAAAGGAAGGTGGGAGGGAGGTGGTGGAGGAGGAGGACAGCACACAGACGTGACAGAGCCCCTGGAGGAGCTGGGGGTGTCTGAGGAGGTCACAGGGAGGGATCCTCATCCCAAAGCCAGGGCTGGGATTGCTCACAGCCACGACGTCAGCCTGGGGCCCTCCCAAGCTGTGCCTGTGCTGGGAAGGCTGGGACAGGGCTTTCCCCTGCGTGGGATGGGCATCCAGGCCCTGTCAAGGCTGATCCATCCCCACGTGGCAGCAGTGCTGAGCATTGGGAGTGGTCACCTGAAATCTGGGGCTGCTCATGGCATCTCCCGCAGTCCTTATCACATCCTTCTCTTCCCTTTCTCCTCTCATTTTCATGCAGCTCTATTGGCCACCCATATTCCAGAGCCACATTCCAGAGCCCACCCCACGGGGTGGACGCTGCCCTGGCCCTTTGCAAAACCAACCATTTATTTTAAAAGCTTTTTTTCCTCCTTTGCCCAGATTGAATTTTCCACTGGGTAGCAAAGGTGCTTTGTTTGGCTCTTTGTTTACAGGGGGAAAAAGCACACCAGGAAAAAAGCTCAGGAGGTTTGAGTGAACTTGCAGCTTGAAGCTGTTTTGTTTGCCGTGAAGGAATCATGCAGGTGTCTCAACAAAACACTTCAGGGGTTTTTGCAAGATTAGATCTTACAGTTTATTTTTCGAATGTGTAAAATTATCCCAGGGAGACCTTTGCCCTAGTGGCAGCTCAGCATAGCTTCCAAAAAGAAATCTCAAAAAGAAATCTGGAATAAAACTAGAAAGATTTGGACACACGAGACCCTCTGAAAGGTGTAAACAATCTGTCTTGGGATGTATTTAAAGTGAATCAGAGAGAAAATAGCTCAGGAGTCCTGGTGAGGTGCTGGACATGAGGTCATGGGGGAATTCAGGTGGGGCACCAGCTAAAGCCCAGCTGTGGGTGATGCTGCTCCCAAAAGAGAGGGACAACAAAAGATTTACAGCAGGCTGTACAGGCAGGGCTGGGCTGGGCCTGGCTGTGGAGTGGTTCACTGCTCGATGCCAGTTATGGGATCCCAGTCCAGAACATCTGCAAACAGGCACATGGATCAAGGAGAGCTTTGGAGCAGCATCTGCAGGGATTCCCTTCCCTCTGACCTGTCCTGCTGGGATCAGAGGCCTGGAGAGGCTTGGGAAAAAGGAGCATGAGCAAGCAAGGGGCTTGTTATCCTAATGCCTGGCTTTGCAAGTGATGGTCAGACCCACACCGCACTTCCCTGCACAGGTAAGAGTTCCAAAACCCATTTAGAGAGCCTGGAGTGCAGGACTTTATTCCTTTCTTGCACCCTGGAGTGGCTGCCTGGGGCTCTGGTGTCACCTGAGCAGCCTCACAGCACAGGACTGGAGGAAACCCAGCATTTCCCCATCCCTTTGAATCGAGAGAGGGGAAAAACCTCTTTTACCCATCCCCTCGAACTGTGAGATGGGAAAAATCTTTTACCCATCCCCTCAAACTGAGAGATGGAAAAAATCTCTTTTACCCATCCCCTTGAACTGAGAGGTGGGAAAAACCTCTCTTACCCATCCCCTTGAACTGAGAGATGGGAAAAACCTCTTTTACCCATCCCTTCGAACTGAGAGATGGGAGCCAAGAGGAGGGGAGGGAGAATTTAAAAACGGGATCGGCAAGGGAGGAGGAGGAGGGGAGCAAGGAAGGGGTGGCTGCTCCCTGCCAGCCGCTGAGGAAATCTCGGCAGCAGCCAGGTGAGGAGCTGTGCTTTTGGCACCACCTGCGTCTTCTGAGGCACGGGGAGAGGGCTGTGAAATCCCCTCCTGCTTCCAGGAATCCTCCCGGCACGGGACACGGCCGTGGTAAACATGACACATCCTGTGCCCTGGAAGCCAGCCGGGGTGGCAGCGCACGGACAGCGTGTCCCCGGGCACGGGTGGCACCGGGGAGGGGACAGCAGCGATGGCAGCGCCGGGGGGCGCTTGGGATGCGACTTTGGGGATGGGGATGCTTCTCCGTGCCAGGGTGAGGGGCTGTTCCTCGGGAGCAGCCCGGCTCCAAGCCCTCTCCCAAAGCCAGGAACAGCCCCTTGGCCGAGGGACAAGAGGTGCTCCAAGCTCCTGAGAGTTTTCTGCACAAAATCCAACAAACAAACAAACAAATTTATCTACTATATATTTATTATATATTATATATTCTATATTCTATATTATATATTATATACATAATATATAATAATACATTATATATTTATATATAAATATAGCCCAGCTCCAAACCCTCTCCCAAAGTCAGGAACAGCCCCTGGGCCAAGGGACAAGAGGTGTTTCAAGCTTCTGAGGGTTTTCTGCACAAAAAACAACAAAAAAACAAACAAACATATTAAATTTCTATTTCTATTTCTATTTCTAATATATTATATACATAATATACAATAATACATTCTATATTTATATATAAATATAGCCCAGCTCCAAACCCTCTCCCTGGCCAAGGGACAGAGCTGTTCCCCAGCTCCCCTGCCCCAGCTCGGCGTCCCAGGGCCCCCAGGTGTGACAGGAGCAGGGTGGGAAGGGGGACACATTAATTAATCCAGTGTCAGGCTCGGGGAGGATGCCCTCCCTCCCAGGTGTGTCTGCATCCTCCAGGAACCCTCAGTCCCCATCTTCTCCCCCTCAAGCACCTCTTGCTCCTCATTATTTCCTCCCAATTTTTGTTTTGTTTCTGTTAATGATGACAGCCATGTGGGGTCTGAGTATGGATGATCCCAGGAGGGAGGGAGACCTGGGGAGGAAGGAATGGGGCTGGAATTTGTTGCTATGGAGCATGAAGGTGAGGATGGGAGAGAAAAGCTCCTGCTGCCACACTGGAGCTTGTCTGAAGTGGCTGAGGACAAGGACACCGTGAGGGGGGATGATTTTGGTGGGATGTGATCCCCATGGCTGAGATGGATGAGATCCCCATGGATGAGAGAGGCAACAGGATGGTCAGAGGGATGGGGAGATGGGACGAGCTTGGCTGGTCTGGCTTAGCAAAGCAGGGAGTGTGAGGGGCACACAGAACCTTCCTGCTCCTCACCCTACATCCAGACCTCCTGAAATTTGCCCTAATTTTCAGCCTTCAGCTGATTTTCTCCCAGCCAGGGAGGCAGGGCCTGGCCGAGCAGCCCTCTGTGGGACACGGGGTGGGGTTGGGCTGCCCACTGCTTTATTTGTATTTTTAGAGCACACCACAGGCACTAGGTCACTGCAGTGAGTGGAATTCCACCCTGGAGCCCGGAGCAAGTCCTCACCCCCATCCCTCTCCTCAGGGATGGACTGGAGCCAACAGCTGAGCCGGGGCTCAAGTGTCTCAGCCACCACAGTGCGCACAGGGAAGAGCAGGACAGGGGACAGGGGACAGCCCTCCCGCTGTTGTCACTCCAGGGAGAGTCCCAGGGCAGTGAGGGTCTGGTGGTGCTGAGCTGGAGACCCCACTGGGGGCACAGGGGGGCTCCTGGTGTGAGTGGAATTTGTTTGGTGGGACAGCAGGCACCCTTGTGCCAGGGGAGCTGAGGGCACTGGGATGCTGAGGTGAGACTGGGACAAACTGGAGGAGGGTGGGGAGAAGGCCACCCCTGCCCTGCTTGCTCAGTGGAGAGATGAGCTGGCAACATGGTGAGTCCAAAGCTGAAAAAGATGGGGAAAAAACCTTGAAAAGGAGAATGTGTGTGGGCTTAAAACAGCACAGCACATCCTGAAAGCATAGCTTGGGTCCCTTTATCATCTCCAGAGTGACTGATGCAAGGGAAGCTGCTCACCAGGGCTTGGGCTCACAGGGAGTGAGTCAGGAGGGCTGCAGCCCCAGCTCTTGAGTCACTGCTGGCAGCACTGGAAGCCCCTTTCACTTGTGAGGGGTGATGGAGTCACTGTCCCTTTGGGGGAAAATCATCAATTTATCACTGAAGCCTGAAATAAGGAGAGAAATTCTCCGCGGGGATGCTGACCCAGGCAGCAATGGTGGCAAAAGAGGATTCCTGGAAGGGCAGTGAGTATCAGATCCCTGCTTCAAGGCATGAGGTTTGCCTGGAAATCAGGCCAAGCAAAATGTGCTGGGAGTCATCCTCTGAGAGCTCTGCCTCACGAGGTGTGAAATATCTGCCTTTTCTCATCGTCTTCTAGGAGATGATTTTCTCTGATTGAGCCACCCAAATTCTTGGCCTCACATGGTTCAGGTGGCCCAAGCAGCCAGCAGTGATCAATCCCACATTGCTTTCATCCAGGGGTGAAATCCCACTGATGGGATTTAGCAGGACCAACCTTGCCTTGAACATGAAAGGCTGTGACGAGCCCCAGTAGCAGAGCATGCCAAGCACTGTTTTTATTGCTGGAAACAGCCAGACATGAGGACTGGTGTCTTTTCTTCTGAGCCATCACACAATTTTGGGATGATTTTTCCCCTCTATTCACAACCCAGAGTGTGCCTGCACTTCCCTGTGTCCCACTGCCAGCTCACAGCTCTGCTCTGCCCCATCCCCTCTGGTGTTTTTTTCCCCCCCAGACTTTTTTCTGAGAGATCCACCCTTTTTTTTTTTCCAAAACAGGCAGTTTCCCCTAACAGCAAGCACCCAGTGGCTGGCAGCTGATGGCTCAGTTGCTTTGCCTCATGCACAAAACTTTCCACTTGTGCTTTTCATCTGCCCAGAGGAGGAGGAAGTGCCTGCTCTCTCCTGCAGAAGGGAAACGTCTGCCCTCCTGTGTTCAAAGTCCCCTCCAGAGAGCAGCCGAGGGTGCACTGACCTCATGGGGTAAATATTTTCCATGACATCTCCTCCTGACATCTCCTCCCGGGCTCTGTACCTATAGCTGACCCAGCTCTGCCTTTACAGCCGGCTCCTTGCTTCCCTACGTGTCCCCACGCAATGTCACCCCCTGAAGGTCTCAGTGACCTCTCTGGACACTCTGCTGACCAAGGAGGTGGCCCCTGGGCCAGTGCTACTCCCCAGGGACACCAGATCCTTCTGGCTTGCTGTGATGGCATCTCCAACACGTCCCCATGGCTGCTCAGAGCTCCAAGCGCCCTGGCCATGGGCTGATGCCGTGCCAGCTGGGGAAGTGGAGCCAGCAAGCACAAAGCACCCTGAGGTGGGATGCAGGGAGGTTGTCTGGAAGTGGGAGCAACTTGTCAGCAGGCCTGGATGGCAGGGGGAGACACCCACTGACTCCATCCCTGTGGAGTCATCCACCTTGGATCATCCACCCCTTCCCATCCCCAGCTGGATGGGAAGGGGTGGGTGATCCAAGATGGGAAGGGGTGGATGATCCAAGATGGGAAGGGGTGGGTGATCCAAGATGGGAAGGGGTGGATGATCCAAGAGGTATTTTCCACCTCCAGCCCCTGGCTGTGTTTTGGCTGTAGAGACCTTCCCCAGCCTGTCCTTCTCAAGGGGACAGTCACGTCTGGTGTCTGCATTTCCTGCACAGTGCTGCAGAGCCCAGAGCTGTTCATGGTGCAGGGGTTTTCTTTGCAGCCACGAGAAGTGCTCCACCACCAGCTGTCTGAGACAAGGTGCTGTGGTCACTGTGATGGAGAGGTTTTGTTTTTCACGAACAGGACAGGACTGCTGCGGTGTGTTCTTTGAGTTTTATTTGCAGCCTCAGCCTCATTACATGGTTGAGACAATAGAAAGATGTAAAAGCTCACGTACAACCAGCAGTAGCTAAAGATTTCTTTGTTACAGAACACTTTAAAAACTTTCCAGCCAACAGCACATTGCTAAAGCTTACAGACAATTGTTTTAGCCAGTCACTAAAAGCACACATACACCTGCTTCACACAATGCTTGCTTGTCTGCTCTCTATTAACAATACACAATACACCATTATTAAGTTTAAAACCTTTTACTCTCTTGCTAAGCATATTTTCCTGCAGTCCTTAAATCTATCCTAACCAAACCTAAAACTCAAACTATTGTTCTATAGCTTTACTTACTCTACTATTATAACTTTATCTACCTTCGAACTTTGCAATTACATCTAATTCTAAGTTTCTCTACTCCTTCTGTTTCTAAAACTTACTTTTCCAACTTGTAAAAATCTTCTTACCTTTCCTATTTCCCACACTCACTCTGCTGCTGGGGCTTTTCAAACCATGTGCCAGGCCCCAGCTCCAGGGCAGTGTCCTGAGGGGGAACAGGGTATTCCCTGAGCTGGATTCCTGAGGATTAGATCCCTCCCACCCACCTCTTGTGGGAAAGGGAGAAAACACAGAAATATGGCCAAGGAGGTGTCAAAAGATGCTCCCGTCAGCCTCACGGGCAGCCCCGAGGAGAAAATCACCCAAATAATTTGTTGTGGACATTTCAGAGCCCTTGATTTATTTCTGGGTCTCCATTTCTCACCTACAGCAAAGGTCCTTCCTCAGGTGAAGCAAGGAGAACACCTACACCTGCCCTTCTGGTAGTTCCTGCACGGTTTGTAAGAGAGTGTTTCCCAGTTTTTCTGCATGGGAGAAGTTTCGTTCTTCTCCAGAGGGTTGTTAGTGCTAGAGTGAAAATCAACATGAACCATCTGTTAACCTGAGTGGGTTTAAGGCTCCTGTTTTGGCTGCTCAGTAAGATTTTTCATTTTAAACATCTCTCTTTTTTGGCAGACAGGGAAGGTTTTCCCACCTGCTCCTGGTGGTAGCGTCAGAGGAATGTTTCAGGATGCAGTGGAGAGCTCAGCCTGTGGTTCCAGGTATTGTCCTGCACCTGCTGCAGAAAAAGCCATGGACCTCCTGCCTCCATCCTGTGCTCCTGGAGCAACGTGGGTGTCCCTGGGAGATCCCAGCAGGGCTGTGAGTGCAGCACCCCCACCCTGGATCACCCAAGGTGCTGTCCAGGAGCTCTTCCACAAGAGGCTGAGCTCTGAAAATCCACGTGGCACGTTTTTGCTCCTGTTTTTGGCTTCTCCTCTGTGGCATTCACATTCTCTGAAAAAATCCCTTCGCCCAGGGTTTTTCTCCTGGGAAGCTGAGAAGCCTCAGAGAAAAGGAAAACAATTCTTATCTCATTTGCTTCTCCTGTGTTGTGCTCATGTGGAATGTGTTTGGAGATTGTTTACCCACAGGTGATTGTTTCACTGGATTCTGCTGTGAGTTGTTTTCACTCTTTGGCCAGTCAGGGCCAGGCTGTGTCGGGACTCTGGAGAGAGTCACGAGTTTTCATTATTATGTTTTATTATCATTATTACCTTTTATTATCTTTTCAGCATTCAGTAAGTATATTTTCTGTATTCTTTAGTATAGAATAGTATTCTTTAATATAAAACAGCATCATAAAGTAATCAATTAGCCTTCTGAGCACATGGAGTCAGATGTGATCATTCTCTCCCCTCGTCAGTGGACCTGCATTTACAATACTCCTCAGAGGAGAGGGGTGTCTTTGCTCCTCTGTGGCAAACCCAGGTGGGTCCCTGCTCCTGGGAGGATGCAAGGGCTGTGCTGAAGGTGAGGAAATGATTCTCCGCTGGAAGCACCTGCCTGTTGGACAGGGCAGAATTTGGGAGGTGGGGATGTAGAATTATACATTGGATGTACAAACCTTGGCTTTCCCAGAGGCCTGGGTCTTCCCTGGGACTGCTGCTCTGCCTCCTCGCGTTTGTGGGGAGAGGAAACTGCAGCTAACCTCACCACAAACACAAATCAGTTGGGTTTTGTTGCTTTTTTTTTTTTTTTTAATATAATTTTTTGGGTTCTGTGTGTTCAGTTGGAACAATAAAACATCTGTTCCCGAGCCCAGCAGCTGGACTGCAATGAAATGACGTTAGCATCAATTATCCTCCGGGATGGGGAGGCAGATTTCCTTAACGCTGAATAACAAATGAGAACAACAGCTTGGCTCATGGCTTGTGTGCTCCCAGAGAGCTTCCAAACCCCTCCCTGCTCCAGCCCTCGGGTTTGGGGTGCCCACTGCTGTGTTCTCCTGCTCTGGACACCACTGGGAGGCAGAGAGGGAAGTGCTTTTGCAAGAGCTGGGGGTAAACCCCAATTTTGGTGTCTTGGTTTACGGCTGCTGTGGTGGGGGAGACTTTCTTCAATGCACCAAGTGACTTTTTGGGGGCATGGGGTGGGGTTTAAATTATTTTTTGGGGGATGGGGTGGGGCTCAAGTGATTTTTTGGGGTGATGGGGTGAGGCTCCATTGCTTCTTGAGGAGCCACCGTGTCCCCAGCAGGGACGTGGCCAGTGGTGGGTGCAGCTAGCCAGCCCGGAGCAGAGCTGGGGTTCACAGAGGGATGGGCTGATGCAGAATCACGTTCCCTGGGGACAGAAAGGGGCCATTAATGGGGAGAGGGAGCACAATGCCTGTGATTTGTTGGCAGGCACGACCTCCAATCCCTGGCAGCACCTCAAAGCAGCTGGGAAGTGCCAGTCGGTGGCGATGCTCCGGCGCGTGATGCGGGGCACCTGACCCTGGCGTAAGGCTGGGACACAGCCTGGGACACGGGCAGGGACACAGGCAGGGACACAGCCTGGGACATGGGCAGCCTGCTGGGGAGGGCACCGAGCCAGCTGCTCCTCCCTGGGATGAATCCCCAGCGCTCCAGGGACATGCTGGCCATCCTGCCCCATCCCAAAGCAGGTTGTTTCCCCAAATCCCAGCAGCACAAAGTGTGTCTGTGGGAAAACCGAAGAAAAGCCAGCAGGGAAAAGCATTTTTTTGTAAGTGAGTTGCTTTTGTACCTGCACAGCGAGATGCTTAAATAACTTAATGCAGGAAATCATTTTGGCTGCTGCAATTTTGAAGGCTCTGAAATAGCTTTGCTGCTCCCTGGGGAGCTGGGAGCAGTTCAGGCCTGGCAGCTTCCAGCACCCTGCAGGTGAGGTGCAGCTGCTCCAGGCAGCCTGTGGGGCAGGGCTGGGGGGAAATGGGGCTCCTGGGGATTGTGTGATGCTCATCGTGAGTTTTTTTGGAAGGAGAGTGTTTGAGGTGAGCAACGGGGGAGAAAGAGCTCATAAAGGGAATAACAGCTTGCTCCAAAAACCTGGGAGCATCAAGCAGCCAGGGAGTGCTTTGTCTGGCTTCCTCCATGAGTGTCCCTCTCGTGGGAGTGTCACCCACATGGAATGGTTTGGGTTGGAAGGGACGGTAAAGATCACCCAGTTCCACCTCCTGCTATGAGCAGGGACACCTTCTACCATCCCAGATTGCTCCAAGCCCCATCCAGCCTGGCCCTGAACACTTCCAGGGATGGGGCAGCCACAGCTTTCCTGGGAAACCTGTGCCAGGGCCTCCCCACCCTCACAGGGAAGGATTTCTTCCCAATATCCCCTCCCAACCTGCTCTCTGTCAAGCTGAAGCCATTCAACAGCACCCAGCACATGCCTCCTGCTTTCCTCTGATCCCTTGTTCCTTTTGGCCACCAGCCTTGGTTATATCCACAAGCCACACTGGGCCAACACTAGCCCAGGTGTCACATCTGATGTTTGTCACCTCTCTGCTCCCAGACAGGGCACTGCAGGCACTCCTGGCCTCTCCTACCATTCATGGAGTCCAGCTGGGAAAATCCCCAGAAGAGACTTGGCAGGTCTAGAAGCAAAAGTAAAGGAAGCTTTGGCTTTATAAAAAAATTTGAAAACCGGATCACTTTGTCCCAAAGCAACTGAACTCAGCCCAGTACGTCTATTTTTTGTTACATTATGTACTGTACTCCAGCCTGTTTTCCCAAGCCTTACAAAAGCAAGTGGATCCTCATTTTGTTTGCCTGCCCCAACCCTCAGTAACATGCTGAACTGGCTGGTTTTGGGGAGGTCTGGCAAGGATGTTAATTCCTCCCAATATTCTGGTCTTGCTGGCTGTATGAAAACAAGTGCCAGTGCTGGAGGTTGGCTTGATCCCAAGCAGTGAGGGAAAGGCTTGTTGGGTCCCTGGTTTCCCAAAAATCCCCATCTGGTGGGAATTTGTCAGCTGGAGCATTGAGATGGGGCTGCCCTGATCCCAGGCACCTCCTCCCCTCCCAGCCTGCCAGCAAACACAGCCTGGGAGGATTCTCTGGTGTTTTGGGATCCAGAGAAGGGCTGAGGGCCCTGCACCCTGCCTGATTCTCCAGTGACCTTTTTCTTCTTCCCATCCCTCTTGCAGTGGCCTGCTTTTCCCAGCCTGGTTGGTAATCTTTAAGAATAGGAGGCAACAGCCTAAAATGCCTCCTGAGGAGCTGGATTTTAGTCCCTCCCTATGGCACTGCTGCTCTGGCTCCCTGTAAATCATCTCACCTCTGCCAGGACTGAGCTTTCTGCACATCCTCCTCCCCCAGCCAGGGCAAAATGTGCCCTGAGGGTGCTGGAGTGGTGGGAAATGGGGATTTGTGCCACCAGGCAAGCTGGGATATACAGCAGCCACCTCCGGCTTGTCACTGGAGAGGTGGATAGGACAGAAAATGGACAGAAATGGACACTGGATAGGACAGAAAATGGACAGAAATGGACACTGGATAGGACAGAAAATGCTGAGCAAGGCTCAGGAGGGTCCAGGTGTGTGTAATGCAGCTAAAAGGAGGTGAGATAAGGGGGAAAGGGGGAATAAAGCAAGGCAGGGGCAGCATTCTGACCACCACAAGGCATCTGAAACAGGGTGGGATGCTTTGTGTGGGCAGCCACCAGGCAAGGGACGCGTGGCTCTGCTTTGTCCCGGCAGCTCTGGGGAGCAGCTCTGGAGCTCTTCCTTCTGCCAGGCCAGGACACAGCCTGGGGCCGGGGCTAAAAATGTTCTAACAACATTTGCATCCCATCCCAGTGGGTGTGGGTGCTCTGGGAGGCTCCATCCAGCCCCTCCCAGCCCAGAGTCAGCATCACAGCCTGGGACACCTCGGGAAAGGGAATGAGGCACCTGGGGGGCTGCTGGGGCAGGGACCTCTCCTCCTGCCGGCCTCCTCACCCCTTCATTTCAACACACTCCTGCACTTCCAGCTTGTTTGCACAGCTCAGAATGTTCTGGGCATTATCAGTGTTTGCACTTTTGCCACTGTTTGTGCTGGTTGCACTTTAAAGGCAATAAAGTCAAGCTTTGTTTGCCTACAAGGAAGCCGTGGGGTTTTTCCCCCCAATACGCCAGAGCTCGCCCTAAAACACGGCACCAAGCACCCCTGGAAGGCCTGGGCCTGCTTGGGATGGTGTTCCTGGGGGAAAAGGGGCTGGGTGTGCACAAACACATGGGGTTCACACCCCATGCACCCCAAGACTCTGCCTGCCAAGCTTTGAGCTTCACGGGGAGGCTGACCCAGCACCCTCCCCCTTTCACCCCAGAGAAGCCAAGGGATCTGTCCTGGGGTGACTTTGTGATGCTTGCACTCCCATTTGCCTGTTTAGCCCAGAAATAATTTCACACCTTTAAGAACGGAGGAGATTCTGAAATCATTTCCCTGAACCAGTTGGGGAAGGGGCTGCTTGAATTTGCTTTCTAGAAGAAACCCCTTTAGAGGTTTTTTTACCAAAATTGCCCTAAACCAGGACAGAATCCCACACCCCACAGCCCCATTCCCGAGTGGCAATGCCACTTCCCCCCGAGCCCTGGGGGTCAGGGGGCAGTGCGGGAGCCAGGTGTGCTGATGACACACGGGGGGCACAGGGAGGTGACCTCACCTGTGTGCCCGGCCACCACTGCTGTCCCCACAGCTGGCACCACCTCCTGCTGCCTGCAACTCGCTGTCCCTGTCCAGGGGGTTGAACATTAACAGGCTGGGGCCAGTGCAAGGCCAGGGGAGACTCCAGAGTGTCTGGGGAAGGGTGTTATTGCTGGAGAAAGCTGTGCTAGGAAAGCTCTGCTGTGCTGCTCAGGGACCTTCTCCCAACTCCCTCCATCCTCCTCAGCTCCCCAGCTGCTTTCTCCACCTCTCAGCCAGGTCTGGGCTGCCCAGCACAGGGTATTTTCCAGGCTGCCCAAGCCTGAGCTGCCTGGCTTTGTGCTGACCCTCTGGGGGTGATGCCTCCTGCCCCCCTGAGCTCCTGGTACCGCTCCAGAGCCTCGGGATGGGGCAGAGCCCACGGCAAACCGAGGCTGGACATGAGTGACCACAGCTGCCTGCTTTTCCTGGAAGGGCAATGTTCATTGTAACTGATCCCTGGATTAAGGCAGGGCATTTTCCCCGCCCTGCCGAGGCACACGGTGCTGCTGTCACCTGTCCAAGGAGCAGCCACCAGCAGGAGCTCCCTGTAAACAAGGCGCCTGCTGGCCAGGGACTGGGAGGGACCAGGAAAGGCACAAACCTCAGAGCTTTAGTGGGGTTTAAGCTCGCAAAAAAAACCCAAAAAAACCCCACCAAAAAAAAAAAAACAAACAAAAAAGAAAAAAATCCCCCCCCAAAAAAACAAAAGACAAAAACCCCCCAAACCCCCTAAACTAAAAGAAAACAATAACAAAAAAACCCCCACAAAACAAAAAAAGCCAACCCCCCCCCACCACAAGCAAAAAAAAAAAAAAAACCCCCAAACCCCCTAAACTAAAAGAAAACAATAACAAAAAAACCCCCACAAAACAAAAAAAGCCAACCCCCCCCCACCACAAGCAAAAAAAAAAAAAAAAAAAAAAAAACAAACAAAAAAGAAAAAAATCCCCCCCCAAAAAAACAAAAGACAAAAAACCCCAAAACCCCCTAAACTAAAAGAAAACAAAAAAACCCCAAAACCGCCAAAAAAACCCAAAACCACCAAAAATATCCCAACTCCCCCCAAAAAAACCCAAAACCCCAAAAAACCAAACTAAAAGAAAACAATAACAAAAAAACCCCCACAAAACAAAAAAAGCCAACCCCCCCCCCCCACAAGCAAAAAAAAAAAAAAAAAAACAAACAAAAAAGAAAAAAATCCCCCCCCAAAAAAAACAAAAAAACAAAAACACCCAAAACCCCCAACAAAAAAAAAAAAAAAAAAAAAGAAAAAAAACCCAAACAAACAAACAAACAAAACCAAAGCTGTGTCTGGGCTTGAAATAATGCCTGGGCAGGACCCAAAATGCAGGTGCTGCGCTGGCTCACCCTGCCCTCTCCTGGACACCGGCTCGCTGGCAAGCTGCTCCCTTGGGGAAATATCCGGGATTTTTAACTGCCCTCCCTCCAGAAAACAGCCTGAGCTGGCTGAGGGTGCAGCTTGCACAGGGCTGTTGGGCCAGGGAAGGACTGTGGCATGAAATCATGGATTTGTGGAATGGCTTGGGCTAAAATTCAGCTTAAAGACCATCTAGTTCCAACCCGGGGAAACGTTGCATCATTTGGTGTGACCTGGTGCCTCCTTGGCGAGTCAGCACCGAAGGCTGCCTGAATTCCACATTTTATTAGTGGGGAATTTTCCATTTTCTGGGCCAGGAGGGAATGGCTGTAGTGCTGTCTCCATCTCAGAGGAGGAGGATGCTGCTGTGGCTGCCTGCAAGCCCAGCACTGAGCCCTCTCAGTGCTGCTGGGGTTTTTTTGGCAGGCCAGG